CTGGGACCACAGGCACTCGCCACAATGCCCGGCTACTTTTTGGTTGCAGCTATCATTGTTATTTTTGGCAGGCCCGGGCTGGATTCGAACCCGCTACCTTAGGTGTATGTGGCTGGCGCCTTAGCCACTTGAGCCACAGGTGCCGAGCCGGAAACAAATATTGAAGTAGAAAAAAGGGATTTAATTTCTGACAAAAGAAGAGTCTTGACATAATCTTTAATTGAAGGATTTCAGTATTAACATATCAAAAATTGGTTGAATGTGACAGTTCATGCCCATAATCCCAGCACTGTGAGAGGCCAAGGCAGGAGGATCAGGTAAGGTCATGAGTTCAAGACCAGCCTGGGAAACATAGTGAAACCTCTTTAAAAAGATAAAAATAGGCCAGGTGAGGTGGTTCATGTCTGTAATCCTAGCACCCTGGGAGGCCAAGGCGGGTGGATTGCTTGTCACAGGTTTGTAACCAGCCTGAGCAAGAGCAAGATCCCATCTCTAAAAATAGCTGGGAGTTATGGCAGGCACCTGTAGTCCCAGCTACTTGGGAGGCTGAGGCAAGAGAACTGTCTTATAGCCCTGGAGTTTGAGTTGCCGTGAGCTATGATGCCAAGGCACTCTACCAAGGGTGACAAAGTGACTCTGTCTCAAAAAAAAAAAATAGTGATAAATAAAATAAAAATAGGGTGGGTGAGGCTGCGCATGCCCGTAGTCCCAGCTATTCAGGAGGCTGAGGCAAGAGAACTGCTCAAGCAAGAGATTGAGGTTGCTGTGAGTTATGATGTCACAGCACTCTACCCAGGGCAACAGAGTCAAATTCTATCTCAAAAAAAAAAAAAAAAAGCAAGAAAAAATAAAAAAATTCAGTATATGGGCAACAATGTCCTTTGCAAATATTTAAATTTGTGATTAAAAATTTAGATATCAGGTGGCACCTGTAGCTTAGTGGGTAGGGCGCTGGCTCCATACACTGAGGGTGGCGGGTTCAAACCCAGCCCCAGTCAAACTGCAAAAAAAAAAAAAAATAGCTGGGTGTTGTGGCG